TGCCAGACAGAGAGACATAGAGACAGAAAGCGAGAAATCACCCCCCCAGGGGGGATGGTCACGCCGCAATCCCTTCTCCTCCATTCTCCTCCTGGGATCTTGGGCATGCACACACACACGCTGGGCGTGAGTTTTAAGCCACCAGGTCCGGGACATGAACCGCGGTCGACTACGTGGGAGTCCAGCGACATAGCCATTATGCTAACTGCTGGTTCTCGATTTCTCACTTTTTGTCCTCTGACTTTTTGGCGAGCGCATGCGCCCTATAGCAAAAACCTCTCTCAAAAAAAAAAAAAAAGGGGGGGGGGAGTGTTGTGGGTTGTTTGGAAGTAATGACAGTAGCCAACATTTCCCAAATGCGGAGCACAGGGCCAGGTGTGGTGAGCGATGCCATGCACGGTGCCAGGCAGCTGGTGTTGGACACCTCTGCGACACAGTGATCCAGGTATGACCCTGCTCATTTCACAGAGAAGAAAGAGAAGCCTCAGCCTCTCAATGTCCTTTAACCCCAGAAGATTGGCCCTAAGACTGCCCCAGAGTGGATATTCCCACCGAAGGCACCACCCCCATCTCTGGTGGCCAGGAAGGAGCAGGTACTGCCAGCAGCAGCCCAGGGACCTTGGTGACAGCTCGAAGACTCCCCAGGCTTGCCTTCTTTAAAGAGAATGAACTATTTTAAGGAAGGTCAACAACAACAAAAAAGCTGTTGATAACAAAAATGCTCCGTAATGACCATTAATTCTCAGCTCTCAGAGCATTAGGGATGACTCAAATGTCCCCAGAGAATAAAAATCTCCATTCTCATTTCAAGTAGCTGAGGGCTCCAGATCTCCCCCATTTCCATGTTAATGGCTCTCTTTCCTGTTTACACAACCAGTCTCATGTAAACATACTTTCAAAAGAAGGATGTGCAATGAAGGGTGGGTGAGGCCTACTGCAAAGTCCCAACTACAGTTGGGGGTCCAGAGGAGTCCAGTGTCCACTGACCCAACACTGGGTGAGTCGGGCTCCTGGCTCAGACCTGGCCCTGCCTTCAGGAGCTGTCAGCAAGGCGGAAGGAGAGGAATTGGAGCCTGTGGCTGTCCAGCCTGGCAGGATGGCACACCCAGCTATGTGTGGGGGAGTCCCCAGGGCCCCACAAGGAGGGAGGGTGTTTCTGCTAGGCCTTGCCAGATGAGAGGGAATTTCAGATCCAACAAAAGGAAGAAGTCAGTGAAACCATCCATCGGTATTCTCTTTTTAAAGTTTTATTTTGTTGTTTCTTTTTTGAGAGGATTTTGCTATAGGGAGCGTGCGCTTGCCAGGAAGACAGAGAGAGACAGAGAGACAGAAAGTGAGAAATCACCCCTCAGGGGGAATGGCCATGCCACAATCCCTTTTC